CCAGTGCTGGCCGGGGCTCCGAAGCCTTTGCCACGGGGATGGACGGCTGCCACGGCCACGCCCCGGGACCGTGCCAGGCCATGGGGGCTCCGGGAGATCGTCCCGAGCACCCCAACCCTCTGTCGCCCCACAGCCCCCACACTGGCGGGTCCAAAACACGGCGCCTTCGCCCGGGAAATGCTCACACCCCGACCCTGGTCCTGGTGCAAACTGCTGTGCACACCACAGGGCCGGGAGGAACGCGCGGCTGGGGATTTCTTAAAGCTTGGGGGAGGAGAGGGGTACCGATTCTGCCCGACGGTGTCCCGTTAGCGCACGGCATTTTTACTTTTGCCTTTACTTTTTCCACAACATCAGCATCCACTATAGCCTGGGAACATTGTCCAACACCTCCATCCACCTCCTGCCTCTACGGAATATTTCACCGTTGACGCAAAACGGTGGAGGCTTCCCGTCATCCCGTCATCGTTTCACACCCTCCAACTGGTATCTGAAGATCAAAAATGGATCTTTATCGGTGCAGAGCACCGGCGCCGCCTGCCCCGGTGCGGCGAGCTCAGCCCCTGCGGTGACTGATGACCGGTGACCGAGGCCGGCCCGAGCCCACCCTACCGGGGCTCAGGCAGCAACCGGGAGCAAGCGGCACAGCAAACCGAGCAGAAGAAGGGGATGTTCCCAGGAACGTTATTACGATGAAAATAAAGTCTCCTGTAACTGAAGGGATTTTAAAAAAAGAAAAAAAAAAATCTCATGATTATTTTTTTTGTGGGTTTTTTTTTTTTTTCAGGTTTTTTTTTTTTTTTTTTTTTTTTTTTTTTTGCTGTTAGAACTGTCTCTGCCAAGTTGTGAAACTTGTTGGTTCAGTTCTAAATCAGGGTCCAGGATCTGTGAGCAGAAGTCGAGGGGTAGGAAACGGGGAAGAAGTGGTGGTGGGAGAAAAATTATATATATATGGGTTTACATACACATATATATATATATAGGTGCTTGATTAGTTAAGTGCCTATATATATATATACACATATATTTATAGCTGGGTGTACTGGTACTCGATAGGTCAATCCAACACATCTTTTACCATCACAGCATTTTGGCATCCACAGACTGGCTGAACAAACCTGATGGAGTGAAGGTGCTGGCCAACACTTTGCGTGCATTGGCACAGGAGCCAGATCTGAAGCCCATCCTCTCCCACTTCCCAATGGTTTAAAGTATCTCATTTAACAAAACCAGGAGTCTTGAAATGATTAAAGGATGTTCAGCAAGGCAATTTTTTTTCTGTTTTGTTTCGTTCTGAAAAAAATATAATATATAAAAGTGGCCAACCTCAGGAAGATCCAGGAAAAGGACAGCTGAAGAGGTTTTGGTCCATAAAGAAATACTTTTTCT